TTTTTTTCTACTAATTTTACTTATATTGTGGCAGTTTTTCAGGCACTATATCTCCACCATATGTATTAAGATTTTATTTCTTTAATGCAATTTAACAAAAGAACAAACAGTTGACAAAATGTTGTTATAAATTTGATATGGTGATGAAAATGATTCTGAGGTTTGACATTCCAAATTTACAAATCTGAGCTCTCTTCCTTTTTATTATTGTCGAGCCTTCGACTTTAGTCGAAAAAGCGAGACATAGCGATCCTACATTCCGTCGTCGTCGGCGGCGTCGGCAGCGTCCACAAATATTCACTCTGTGGTTAAAGTTTTATAAATTTTAATAACTTTCTTAAACTAACCTGGATTTCTACCAAACTTGGACAGAAGCTTGTTTATGATCATAAGATAGTATCCAGAAGTAAATTTTGTAAAAATAAAATTCCATTTTTTCCGTATTTTACTTATAAATGGACTTAGTTTTTCTGCCGGGAAATATTACATTCACTCTGTGGTTAAAGTTTTTAAAATTTTAATAACTTTCTTAAACTATCCTGGGTTTCTACCAAACTTGGACAGAAGCTTGTTTATGATCATAAGCTAGTATCTAGAAGGAAATTTTGTTAAAAAATAAATCCATTTTTTCCGTATTTTACTTTTAAATGGACTTAGATTTTCTGCCAGGAAACAACACATTCACTCTGTGGTTAAAGTTTTTAAAATTTTAATAACTTTCTTATACTATTTTGGATTTGTACCAAACTTGGACAGAAGCTTGTTTATGATCAAATGCTAGTATCTAGAAGGAAATTTTTGTTTTCTTCCAGTTAACATTACATTCAGTCTGCAGTTAAAGTTTTTAAACATTTATTAGATTCATAAGTTATCCTGGATTTTTACCAAACTTGGACAGAAGCTTCTTACAATCAAAAGATAGTATCAAGAGGAATATTTTTATTGATTTACTTCCTCATTTTTGTTGAGCCTGCGATTAACAGAAAAAGTAGGCGAGACACTGGGTTCTGCGGAACCCTTACGAATTTTAATGCAATGCATGCAGTTTATGGCTGAATATTTCAAATATTTAGTATGTGACACAACTTCCAAGTGAAACTAGATTTTCATGCAAAATTTGCCATCATTGATTCAATTATATTTCTTGAGAACACTGTCAATGGACAATTAATTATCATAATTAATAATCATCACAAACATCAAAATTATTTTCATCATCAACATCATCATCATCATCATTATCATACTGGAAATCATCAACTATCCCATCTCCACTTACCACCTTTTGAGCAAACTTAGTCAACTGTAACACACAAACAGCCTTGTCATATTCCAACTGAACTAAGTCCAGATTAGATGTTTCCGCTGTTTGTGTGCTACAGCTGACTACAGCTACTGGATAATCCAGGGTTCACCACAGAATGAAAATCAAGGCTAGGGGAGAAAGTTCATCAAATCAGAGATTTTGTGTTGCGTTGTGAATCGTTCCTTGAGCATTAATTATTAATTATATGCCTTACATGTATTTGTCATATATAGCTAATTTGAAAAGGGGGGTCTAACACATTTTGTAGTTGGTCCTATATATTAGTTGTCAACACTCATAGGAACATATCAAACAGGTTTCAGGAATCCACATATAATATTGCTTTTCATGTGATATTGTATAATTCTATTATTTTAAAGAGTTTTCTAACAAATTTTATCTAAATTGTCTTATGGAAAACAACATGGTAAAAAAGATAAAGAAATTAATAATAAAAATAACATTTAGTCACATATAATTTTAAAGTCATTTCAACCAAATTAAGCCTATCTAGCAGTTTATAAAATCATATTTGTTATATAGAATTTTATTAAATTAACTCCCCTCTTTTCCAATACAATAATGTAATGGAATTATATATATCCAGTTTAACTCTTTTCATACTTTAAATGAGTTTTCAGATAATGAAACTCCTATCTCAGTTGTTGATCTAACTGTCTATAAATAACCTGACAATGTTTGTCAGTTATTTAGGTTTTCCCTAGTATTTTCCCGCCAAAAGAAATCATGTGACATTGTTGTTTTTCAAAAGGAACATGTGGTTAAGGAATTCATTTGTTTTCTGGATTAATGCTTTTATTAATCTAGTTCGGATATAAACATTCCCTTTTAGGTACAGTCAAAAATTTGCATTTATAATATATCCGTGAAAACAGAGCCGGTGCTCCTGAATTCATAGGAGGAAAATAATTATATTTTGTATAACTTCTATTGGAACTCATCACAACATTTGTAACAAAACTCGAAAAAACCTGAGGTTATTCAATCATAAAACAGAAACATGTTGATGAACAGATCTCCGTAGCTCTACAATAAATTGTGTAGCTATCCATATATACGCACTGTACGTTTACGTTGTCATTGTTGATATGAGAAATACTCGATTTTCTCTCATTTATTTTTTTTTGTAAGAGAAAAAGTAACCAGCGGTGACAGCTCGAGTTATCGGAAATTTTCGCTGGTTGCCGGCTTCTAATGACATCCCTGTCATGGTCTATTTACTTTGAAACTTTTGCTTAGTTTACATGTATTAGTTTGTGATTAGATCAGTTTAAGATGAACTGCTAATAATAAGTCAATGATATTTGGTATGCAAATTTATTGGCATTTGCAAGTATCGTTTCCATGGAGATTATATAGCCCCACCCCTGATCATGGTTCATTGACTTTGAAACTTTTACATAGTTTACAAGTTAATGTTTGTGTTTAGGTTTGTTTAAAGGGAATGACTTATAATAAGTCAATGGTATGCAGTTGTATTAGCATTGGCACATCTCATTCCATGAAGATTGTTTAACCATGTACCTTCAGTCATAGTTCATTGACTTTGAATATTTGCATAACTTACATGTTAAAGTTAATTGCTATTTTAATTTCAACATTTGCATTATCAAAATTACAAAAAGGCGAGACATATCTCTGTGATAACAGTTTATTTGTAAAATGTTCCCGTGATCCATGACAACAACATGCTGTAACAAGGTTAAGGTTTAACCCAATAATTATTTCCCGAATTTTTACTACTATAGTGTAATAAAGAAGTTGACAATATTTTTGAGTCTTCACAGAAGTGCCAAAAAAATTCTATTGTTGATTTTTTCTTGAAATTTTGGCGGAGCGTTCTTGAAACAGTACTTGATTGATTGCAAAAGAAAACACTAGGGGTCCGTGTGCTTGTTTTTTCAATAAAAGCTATAAACCTTGATTTTTTAATGGCACACAACCTGTTTGCCAATATGGCCCTAAATTACGTTGAAATAAGTTTTAATCGCAATCACGTTGTGAAATCATTCACAACTAAGCAATCAAGTTCAGGTATAGCCAAGGGGTTTACCCAATGCTATGATATTAATCATTAAATTTATAAAGCTGGTAAATTGTAAAATAGTTTATTAAGATATTTGCTTTTTGAAATGGACGAAACGTGGACAGAAACTTCTTAATCAAGAAATAGCATCTTAAAAAGTATTCCAGTAAATAACTTTGAGAAATGTTTGGAAACAAAAAAGATTAATCTGATAAAAGAATTAATTTGCATCTCTGTCTGACATTAGTCCTATAATTCATGTACCATTAGACTGAACACAGCTTAAACATAGTTATAATTATTTAAAAGGGCCCGACATGACAAAATGTGAAACAGTTCTAAAGTAATTGGGATTATATAAAAATAAGGACATTTGGTGTGATTGCCAATGAGACAACTATCCACCATTGTTCAAATGACGAAGATAAAAGCAATAAAAAGTCACCTTACGGCTTTCAACAATTTAAAAAACCACATTGTATCGATAGGGAAGTGTTGAAGATATTGTCAATATAGTGTAATAATTCTTGAGGTGGGAGAAGTGTGACGGGGTTGCTTGCCTTAGTATATGTAGTCGGTACTTAGCCAGCGGTTTTTGGTTGAGCTAGGGAAGTACTTCTTTTGCTCAGTCAGTTAGCACGCTGCCTTGTAACACAAAGGTCCCGTGTTCGAGTCCAGGAAGAGGCAAGTGATTTTATAATGAAAATCATGCTCTCTGGTTACACATCTAAAGCAAGGTATTGAAATGTGATCGTTCTTATTAGAAACATCCAAAGGGCCAAGTGAGATTTTTTCATCACTTGTTATCCATCGTCTTATTTTCTTATTATAACTTTAATTTAGTTCATATATACATAGCACACAAGTTCCTGGAAGCTTTAAACTCCTACCTAAGAGTCTACTCCCTTATTTGGAAGAAGAAGCCCTTAAATTAGAATTATTTTATAACCCTCTTTTGTGTTTTAGCAAAAACTAAAGAAGATAGAGAGAAACTAAACAGACAAAATGATCAGCAATACAAGATCAATAAAAAAGAGATTTTTGTCATGAATTCTATTCATTCTTAATTGTTGGAGAGAGTCTATCCATTGTTGAATATGCACATAGACCTACAGGAGCAACATTGCCTCTTAAGAGTATCTAGTTAAGTTATCAAATCATGTTAATTTTTCAGATGGAATCAGATAAATGTCTTTCTTTGTCCTACTTTAATATTTTACTGGTATTCTAGGAAAATGTACTATCTTTTCTACACAACAATGTATGTACAAGTATATTGCAAATGAAAAAGAAGTAAGGGCTTATTAGCTCAACTTCAGTATACCTTAAGAAAAATGAGATAAATGACACTATTTCTAGAGAAAAAAACAGTGCACACAAAAAGGTAGGAAAAAATTGTAACCTTTAAAAATGTTGTTGAATCAACTCAGATAACAATAATATTTCTAAATGACTAGTATTCAAATGAATCAAATAACAATGCAGGTAGCTTGGAAATTGTATATATTGCACAGGCCACAGTGTAACATATTTAGAAGTTAATGAAATATTTACAATCTTGCCTTTTGTGGTGACCATGTCTATCATTTTATTTAAATAGTAAAGAAAATAAAAATTGTTCTTATTTGTATTTGGTTTATTTTGCAGTTCCATGTCCTCCAGGATCATATTCTGGAAGTGGTGATGAATGTAATATTTGTCCAGATGGAAAGTTCCAGAGTAACTTTGGTCAGAATGAATGTTTGGACTGCCCTTCAGACAATCCTGTTCCATCGGAGGACAAAACTACATGTTTAGGTGGGTAATTATAAACTGATCCAGATAAACTGCTTACATAAATTAATTTACACAAATGTATCAGGAATGGTACCTCATTTTCATGGTTCATTGGTTAATATTATTTTTTCATGATTATGACTGTTTCTCAGATACTTAATAAGCAAGAGGTCAAGTATTTTTGGTGTCTGGAAATCAATGATTCCATGGTGTACAATGTAGTCTGGAGGGTTCTTCTGATCTTGACCTCATTATCATGTATCATTGATAATGTAAGTCTATATAAAATCTTCATATAATAGACTTTCAACAATCATCATATGTAAAGTAGGCCACACATTTCAAATTCAGCATGTGCACTCTTTGTTTTTTTTTACAAAAAATCTTATCTCAAAACTTGCAAGTATTTTTGTCGAGCCTTCGACTTTTGTCGAAAAAGCGAGACATAGCGATCCTACATTCCGTCGGCGGCGTCCACAAATATTCACTCTGTGGTTAAAGTTTTTGAAATTTTAATAACTTTCTTAAACTATCCTGGATTTCTACCAAACTTGGACAGAAGCTTATTTATGATCATAAGATAGTATCCAGAATTAAATTTTGTAAAAAAAAAAATCCTGTTTTTCCGTATTTTACTTATAAATGGACTTAGTTTTTCTGCCAGGAAACATTACATTCACTCTGTGGTTAAAGTTTTTAAAATTTTAATAACTTTCTCAAACTATCCTGGATTTCTACCAAACTTGGACAGAAGCTTGTTTATGATCATAAGATAGTATCCAGAATTAAATTTTGTTAAAAAAAAAATCCTGTTTTTCCGTATTTTACTTATAAATGGACTTAGTTTTTCTGCCAGTTAACATTACATTCACTCTGTGGTTAAAGTTTTTAAAATTTTAATAACTTTCTTAAACTATCCTGGATTTCTACCAAACTTGGACAGAAGCTTGTTTATGATCATAAGATAGTATCCAGAAGTAAATTTGTAAAAAACAAAATTCCATTTTTTCCGTATTTAACTTATAAATGGACTTAGTTTTTCTGCCAGGAAACATTACATTCACTCTGTGGTTAAAGTTTTTAAAATTTTAATAACTTTCTTAAACTATCCTAGATTTGTACCAAACTTGGTCGGAAGCTTGTTTATGATCAAAAGCTAGTATCTTGAAGGAAATTTAAAAAAATTTTGTACCTGTTTATCCGTATTTTACTTATAAATGGACTTAGTTTTTCTTCCAGTTAACATTACATACAGTCTGCAGTTAAAGATTTAAAACATTTATTAGATTCATAAACTATCCTGGATTTTTACCAAATTGGGACAGAAGCTTCTTACAATCAAAAGATTGTATCGAAAGTAATATTGTTATTATTTTTTTTCCTCATCTTTGTTGAGCCTGCGATTAACAGCAAAAGTAGGCGAGACACTGGGTTCCGCGGAACCCTTACGAATTTTTCTTGTAAGATTTTATGTGATAACAGTCGCTGACATATAAAACTTTAGCACATTGATCCATCTTTTTAAGTTGTTTATCATGATGTTTAAATGTTTTGCAAGTAAAAAATATTCACAATAAATGATTGAGTTTTATCTCAACAATATTCATGATATTGATACTGAATAAAATAAAAAAAAAGTATTAAAACTAAGAACAGGGTTTTTATTAATTTGTTGAGTCGGTCTGTTTGAAAAAAAAAAAAATCTTACAAGAGAGAAATCTGTATTAAATATAGATATATTTCAGCTTACGAACAATATTTTTATGCCTCACCTATGATAGTGGAGGGGCATTATGTTTTTCGGTCAGTGCGTTCATTCGAATGTTCGTCCTTTTGTCCGTCCGTCCCTCTGTCCCGCTTCAGGTTAAAGTTTTGGTCAAGTTAGTTTTTGATGACTTTGACGTACAGTCAACTTGAAACTTAGTACACATGTTCCCTATGATATGATCTTTCTAGTTTTAATGCCAAATTAGAGTTTTGACCCCAATTTCACGGTCCACTGAACATAGAAAATGATAGTGCGAGTGGGGCATCCGTGTACTAGGGACACATTCTTGTTGGTATGCTATTTTGACATTTTTTAAATTTTAGTTCCAAAAATTATTGATCAGCTGTTGTCAACATACAATTTAAAAATTAGGAGATGTGATATGATTGCCAATGAGACATCTATCCACCTGAGTTCAAATGAAGTGGATGTAAGCAATTATAGGCAACCATACTGCCTTCAACGATGAGAATAACCCAAACCATATAGTCTGCTGTAAAAAGCCCTGGCACAAAAAATATGAGACAATTCAATTGAGATAACTAACGGCAGAATTTGTAACAAAACAGTTTACAAAAAGACAAAATTGACAAACATAAACCAACGACAACCACTGAACTACAGGCTCCTGACTTTGGACAGGCACATATAGAGTATTGCGGGTTTAAACTATTTTGCGAGTGCCATATATCTAAGACTAAAATATCAATTAGGACACATCCATCATCCAATGGATTTAGTGTAAAGACTTCACTAACAGTCAAGAGAAAAACATGACCTTGTGCAATGCTAAAATATAGGTATCAACAGATTGTAGTACTGTGAATGTGCATATGTGTACCACAATAATATTTAGTATGGTTTTAATTTACTGATAACAAAATCAATATTTATACCAATAAAAACATTATTCAAAGATCTAATTACAGTGTTGAATTGATAACCTTTAAGGATAAGTTTATTTAAAGGATTGATAAGTTTAACCGTATTGTATTCAAATTTCCTAGCGTGGTAAACAACATTCCCGTAAAAATCAGGATGCACAATTCCGTTAAAAATAAGGTACAGCCAAATTTGTAAACCATATTTTTGTATCTTTGGAAGAATTCAGTAAATGTTTTAAGTAATTTGTGGTAAAGAGATCCCTGACTTAATAATTTGCCAGTAATACATAGATTACGCTGATTGATATCCAAAACATCACTACAGACACGGGCATAACTAATGAGTTGTGATATATAAACACCGTAAGACGGTGCCAAATGAACATCACCATCCAAAAAAGGAAAATTAACAATAGGGAAAGAAAAATCTTCCTTTTTGTCGTAAATTTTTGTGTCTAGTTTCTTGTGTAAAACTAAAATTTCTAAATCTAGAAAAGGACAGTTATTGCTGTTAATAATTCATTTATTTGAAGTAAGTTCCTTAGGGTAAATGGCAGTATATTCAGAAAATTACTTAGTTTGGCCATAAACTGTAAATTCATAACAGTACAGGAACAAGTCTACTATTGAAGGGGCACAATTGGTGCCCATAGAAATTCCTACAACCTGTCGATAAACTTTATTGCGGAAACATACAAATGTTGTTGAGGAGTAAATTTACTGCATTAATCATGTCATCACATCCCAGTAAGTATATGCATGCCATCGTCATATAATTTTGTAAAAAGGGGGGTATGTCCACGGATAAAGAGGAAAATAAATAGCCATTTCACGAACAAGGAAAAAACAGCTACATGTTGTTTTTTTATAAACTTTCCGGAAACATGGTAAATAATGAGCCTCAAGCACAAAAACATGAGAAATTAAAATTGCAAATACATCGGACATAAATAACACTTTACCATTCGTCTCAAAAATGGTGATGACTCATCCACTGGAAAGACAAGGATATCGGTTTCATCCTTTGTCATGCAACCCCGTTTTTGATATCCATAAATGGACAAACTTTTTTTTTTAATCTATGAAGATTCCAAATTAATTGTGAATATCTCTTTGATACTTTTAACTTGATGTCTTTCACGTTTGGACGGGTCCATTTCATATATGAGAGAAAAAATCTTGCAGAATTATGACAAAAAAAGAAAACAAACTTATTGTAATTGGATTTTAACACAGTTTTAGATCCACAAAAATATTTGTGCAAACAACATTTGATTGTCTATTTTTAGAAATGCAAACTACAGATTATTATTTAGATTTTTATTTGTTAAGAACATAATTGGTAATTATTTCTGTTAATGTTTAAAGCATTTGATTTCATGAAAATGCTACGAAGCAGATATTTTTATTTATATTTCAGGGATAATGTATTTGTTAGGGTCAGTGGGAATAAAAAAGAATGAAATGAATGAAATGTCAATTTTTTTTTCTTATAAAAATTGGAAAAATAGGGTTGGTGGATCCGTAGCCCGACAGATTAAAAAACCCTTGTCTACCAATGAACAAAAGCATTTTGTTTACATATGCCCAAGTGAGCATGTGTTCAAAGGTTTGAAACTTAATTATACATCTGAAAACACTCAAAATAAATACATAAGTTAAAGCAGTACTAGTAGTCCTATGTTTTACTCCAGTAGTCTCAGCTAAACCAGAAGACTGGAAAAACTACTTGACTTAAGGATGCTTGACAAAAAGTACCAGGATTTCACATATTCTGTCTCTTTATCCCTGTCGAGTCAACATGTAGTATTATAAACTGTGTTATTTTTCAAACAAATGTAAACTAGATTATTATTATTATGTATGATTTTTAAGTCAAAAGTTCAAAGTCAAGGTAACAGCAGTAATTAAGAGACTACAATTTGTGCATTTTTGTTTTGTTTCCTACCATTTTACAGAAATTGACAGCAGACTTTATTTTCTTCATAGTCTGTAGCAAGTCAGGAAGGAGCCTGCAATTCAGTGGTTGTATATCATATATGTTTTCTTGTTCATTATTTTGTACATAAATCAGGCCGCTAGTTTTCTCGTTTGAATTGTTTTACATTTGTCATTTTGGGGCCTTTTATAGCTGACTGTGCAGTATGGGTTTTGCTAATTGTTGAAGGCTGTAATGACCTTGTTAGGAATACAGATCTTTATTGTCCCCTGCACAACTCGTTGCAGGGACATAAAAATACTGGGCGTCCGTCTATTCGTCCGGTCTTGTTAGCGCTCTCACATGTACGATTCTTGCCAGATTTTTATAAAACTTATATCCTAGGTTTATATCAGCAATGTCTCAGACTCATGTATCTGTGCGGATCATCTATTTTTAAAAGAGTTGTGCCCCTTGGAAATATGAATTATATAGAAAATTTTATTGTTAGGGCTCTCATGTGTATATTTTTTTCAAATTTACATCTAAGGTTTATATCAGTAATGTCTTGGACAAGTTTAAAAATCAGTGCCGATCATATAGTTTAAAAGAGTTATGCCCCTTGGAAATATTAATTATATTGGAAATTGCATTGTATTTGCTCTCAAGCCATCATTTCTCTAAGATATTTGAAAAAAGTTTTAAAGAACAAAAAAAAAGTGTTTGTTAGTTATTGCACTTGGATAGATAAAATGTGTGCCAAGTGGGGGACATTGGAACTCTGTTCTTTCATTTTCAGCTGTATGTCCAGTCGGATTTATTTCTGTTGATGGTTTACCCACCTGCACTCCATGTCCAGAAGATCATTACTGGAAAAACAAAACTAACTGTGAACCTTGTCCAAATAGTGGAAGCACCTTAGGGAAAAATGCCATCCCAGAAATGAATGGTTGTAATGGTAAGTATTTGTTTACATAGAAATACTTTCCTTCATAATTTGATTTATTTCATTTACTTATTTATTACAAATTAAAGTGATTTCATGAGATAGGAAACAAAACTTGATTCAGGAAAGTGATTTGTTTGACATTATTTATCCCACTGCTTTACTTTTTGTTTGCTGGAAGCATGTATTTGTTTCAGTCAGAAGCATGAGTTAGGGAGATGTATGAGTATACAATATCTCACAGTATCTTATGGCTGAGGATTCGTATATTTTTTGTAACAAATTTAGTGGATTTAGGGAAAATTTCAATTTTTTGTGCACATTTGATTTCGTGGTGTTGCCAAAGTCTTCATAAAGTTTAATAGAAATTTTGTACTTCATTGAACTTTTAAATACGTGGTTCACCTATACCCCTGAAATCCTTGAAAACTGGTATGCCACAATTAATAACGAATCCATAATAAAAGCTTTTAATTTAAGCTTTTTTTCATTGCTGTTCTGTGATGACATTTTATGTGCAAACATATATTCTTGAGTAGTCATGGTTCTCAGTTTTTGTTTGTTACTTTGACTTGTATCTTCTTTGATAATGGATTTATGAAATTTGAACACCAGTAAACAACTGTTGCCTTTGGTTAGTTAGTTATGCATTGTTTGTGAGCTAGCATACACAATTGATTCCTGTGCCTTCTTGATTACTCTGATTTATATCCTTGTTTACGTGGACTCCAAGACAAATTCAAAAAGGGAAAAACAATAAAAACTGACAAAATGAAACGCTATCAATCAATGGAACAAGTGAAAATTAACTGTCATAATCCTGACTTGGTATGGGCATTTTCTGAAGAAAGTTGTGGGTTAAACCTGGTTTTATAGCTAGCTAAACCTCCCACTTGTATGACAGTTGTTTAAAGTTTCGCTATATTGACAAAATTTGGTGAGCAACCCAAATAGACATAATAGATTAATGCGACAATAATTGGGACCCAGCAGCCAAAACTGTGTAAACATACATCAAAGACATAATACACAACTGACGAAAAAATTCAAATTAACATATAAACAAATCTAACAAAGACGCCAACTAAAAAATTTTAGTAGATAGTTAATTTGACAATGATGTCAAGCTATAGATCAGATCTTTATCTTTTTTTGGTGGATAATGTGCCTTTGGGATGAAAAAGAACTCTGTTGATTTTTTTAAGTCAAACGACTTGAAATGTTAAAAGTCAAGGTAACAGCAGCAATTAAAGAAATTGAAATTTGTTCAATTGTTTTTTGTTTCCCACCAGAAACTGACAGCAGACTTTATTTTCTTCATTGTACTTGACACAAAAAACTGCTTTCTCTACTATGAGTGTATATAAAGATTGTATCCATGTACCCTTTGTGCTTCTGTTATCTTGAATATTATTATTATTATCAAAATCAATGAGTATTCCTCTAAAAAACAATATGTAGAAGTACATATGTGATGTTTAGTCGATCCTACATTATTCTGATCAATATCCTTCTTTTGGCTATAAATTTTTTTGAATTGATGGTGTAACGAAGTCATTAAGTGGATAAATAATTTTTATTATGTAATTACAAAGTTAAGACTGTTTCTAAAGATCAAATGTTCGATTGTTCATAAACTGTCTCTAAAGTTCAATTGTTTGAAAGTTCAGTAAATCGTCACACGGACACGTGATCGTATAGTGGTATAACTGTTCGGTCCTGACTGAGTAATTCGGATGGTTAGTGAATTAATTCCAGCCTACCCACAAGGGGGAGACCTTGGCGAAATCTCCTGTCAGAATCTATCTGTACAAATCTATCCCCGTTCGAGTCCAAAGCTGGATCTTATATAGTTCAGTGGGCCATTAATCATCTTTAAACTATGACCCATAGCTGTTGGCAGGTTGCGTAGTAGTCTGGTTGTGGAGTAATACTATTCTGTGGTTAATTGTCAAACTATGCAATTAACCCCTGACGGATACATGTTATTTCACTATAGACATGGTCATTTATTGGCTGCAGGGTATATGTCTATAATATTCGTACAGATTGTTATTAAGTGTCTAAAGGTTACATGTAATCGTTTCGGATTTGCTGTATTTAGTTACTTCCTGATGATTAACGTATGGAACACAATTGTGTAACATAATGCCTTCCATCCAAAATAGAACGAAAGTTCAATAAAATACGGTATTTTTCTTCCTGTAGGTTATTCTAATAGTTTATTGTAAGGTTTCCGGTAACCATCACCACATATCTAAAGTTTATAAAGTTCTATAAGTCCAATATCATGATATAATAAGTTCATCACATTCATCAAGTCCAATAGCTGGATATATTTACACATAGTTCATTCGAATCATAAGTTCAATATTTCGGTATACATAGTTCATGTTTTATTTCCATCACCATCATAGTAAGTTGTTCCTCAATACTGGGTAGGAACGCAAATGTTTATACAATTCTATTTACACAGTTCATAGGGTCACTTTAAAATTATTTACACGGTTCGTCTTCTGCTAGTGGATTCGGTCGTCTACGTTGTATGGTTTACAATCCAGTCCTTTTACGAAGTAGTCGACGTATCTAGCTCTGGGTACATCTTTCTCAAGAGACTGGTCGCATCGGTCTTCGGTCTTGCATCGTCTTTGAGTAATGGTGCAGAGGGAATCTTCTCTCTGGAATCAGGTACTTCTGTCCAAACCATTTGCGTTGTCACCATTTGGTACCCATCGTTCGTGGCATTAGAACCAGAACTCGCACCTTTCTTTTTGGCTAACCAAGATATATTCTTAATAATTTAACAGTACAAAATATGGCTATTCAAATGAAGATCGCACCTAACCCACTGATAAACTTATCCCAATTCAGAAAAACTAAATATTGTTTACTACTTTTTTATTTATCAATCGTTTGTTCAATCACCTTTAGTTCACTGGGTTATTCAAGCCTAGCAAATTTTAATAAAACAATTTCTAGGTAAAATCAATACGTTCTCTTAAATATCGAATTATCTGGTTAAAACAAAAAACAAAAGAGGGAAAAAAAACTGTCGTATACAACTTCAACAATTTTGAGAATCTTACATGATAAAAACAAAGATACTTTTATTTACACAAGACATAAGAAACATATTTACAAATTTACAATCAAATAAGTTCAATTCGATCATTCTATATAACCCCTACACCTACATGATACCTATAAAAAAAAATTACTAAAAATTCTATGTGTTACTTTGTTACCAATTGTAATACTTTTACGTCTTTAACTTTAGTTTCTCATTAATTAATCTTAATGTTAAATGTAGTCCACAATTTAATTCAGGCTCATCACTCTTAAATCGTTTACATTTCCAAAAAATGTATATAGTTTCCTCATCATAGTCTTTCCTTTCTTTTTTTATATATATCATTTTAATTTGCTTTAAAACATCAGCAACCTACTGCCTTTCCTTTTTATACATTTCATTATGACTGAATGTTTTTATTCATTCTATTTTTTTTTTAAACTTGACTTACTTCTTAAAAACCAAAACAATTTAAAGTTTGTTCTATGCTTATTTATGAACAAAGCCCATTGTTTAGACTCATTTTTTGTTTTACTACTAAATTAATTATTTTCTTATTCTTATTTTAATTTCTGATAATTATCCTCATAATTGTTAAAAAAAAATCAATTTTATTTTAATGCTAGTTTTCCTTTAATATCAATTATATATTTCACTTAGATTTTGTCATTAGTCATGAAGTTCATAAGTCTCTCATTTTTTTACAAATATCGATCTACCACAAAAATACTGTAAATCCCTTAGGGCAAAACATATCAACATTTATCTTTAATGTGCTATTTTCTGAAGATACTTCTCTTTATCTATTAACATTTATTTTATGTAAATAAGGCGTAATCTAACACCATAAAACAACTTGCACCATTTAATTACTTAACATCACTTATGTTAATCATCCGAAGAAGGGGTTGGAATCTAAAATTATAGACTATTTGTTTTCTCTAAACAAACGTGCATACACACTACCCAACTGCGTAAACCATAATTGTCAATGGCTATAACATCGCAAACATGTGAACCACAATGTACCCTTAACTTCATCTACCAAAGGTTCTAAATCAATCTTCATATATACCGGTGCTCTACTAATTTTACGTAAGATATATATTTTCTAGAATAATTGAATGTATCTTCAAGAAAACAACCCATAATATATATGATCAAAAACCATAAATACGAAAAAATGCTATAGTATCAGACATTTTACTTTTTTACATATTTACTCTAAACGAAAAACTAGCTTCTTCAAACTTAAAAAAAAAGTTTTATTTTTAAGAATCATACTTATTATATATAACGTATCCTGTCTATTAAATAACTGCATATAAAAATAACTAAAAAAATATCTTCAATTGTTTTAAGAATATGTGTATTCATAATTCTTAAATTGACGTACAATTTCTAAAAATACTAATAAAAAAATTTCGTGCGAACCACAGCTCGTGAACAAACTTCTGATTTTAAGCCTTTTAAATATACGGCCACTCTCCCTTTAAAATTTACAAATTTACTTAATGTGTATGCCATCCCTTGAAAAGCCATTTCTACTTTTTGTGCTGACATAGAAATATCTTGATTGTCCATAAAGAAAAATGAAAGTAACTTAGTTCTTATGTTTTATATTCCTTTGCGTTGTTTTAGCCAATCCAAGTCGATCCTGGTCTAAACGGCATCAATTTTACGACTTGTAACGAAGTCATTAAGTGGATAAATAATTTTTATTATGTAACTACAAAGTTAAGACTGTTTCTAAAGATCAAATGTTCGATTGTTCATAAACTGTCTCTAAAGTTCAATTGTTTGAAAGTTCAGTAAATCGTCACACGGACACGTGATCGTATAGTGGTATAACTGTTCGGTCCTGACTGAGTAATTCGGATGGTTAGTGAATTAATTCCAGCCTACCCACAAGGGGGAGACCTTGGCGAAATCTCCTGTCGGAATCTATCTGTACGAATCTATCCCCGTTCGAGTCCAAAGCTGGATCTTATATAGTTCAGTGGGCCATTAATCATCTTTAAACTATGACCCATAGCTGTTGGCAGGTTGCGTAGTAGTCTGGTTGTGGAGTAATACTAGTCTGTGGTTAATTGTCAAACTATGCAATTAACCCCTGACGGATACATGTTATTTCACAGTAGACATGGTCATTTATTGGCTGCAGGGTATATGTCTATAATATTCGTACAGATTGTTATTAAGTGTCTAAAGGTTACATGTAATCGTTTCGGATTTGCTGTATTTAGTTACTTCCTGATGATTAACATATGGAACACAATTGTGTTACAATGGATGGTTCTATTCATAAGTTTTGCTAAAAAAAAATCAGAAAAATCAGCAAAATTTGTGGTTCCAGAAGAAAAAAGATTTTTTATTAAATTAAAATTATTTAAAGAAACGACCAATCAACCAGAGATACAGGTCATTCTGTAAAGTGGAAAATTTTCATCAGGGCTATTATTTTCGACTAATATTGCAAATAAGATAAAGTGGCAAAAAATATCCCCATAAGTATATTTGTTCTTTGAAGAAGTTTTGTACCACTGACTAAATATAAAACAGGAAACAAATTCTAGCTAACTGTTTCTGCACCAGATATCATGATATTTTGATCTCAGCAAAAATCCCTAATATTACAGTATTCAACTTTTAGCTGCACATCTAATAAGGTTTAGAAGTAGGGATGTCAACAAGTACTCGAGTATTCGAGTATCGCTCGATAGTACAGAGTATCAAATACCAAAACGATACTCTACTAATCAGTTTCCTGTTAGAATATTGCTGTCTTCTTTATATAAAATTGATCTTCTTGAGAACCTCTTTCGTAAAATTAAATAGGCACCACTGATTAATCATGCAAGTAAATAGAATACATTTTGTTTCGAATGCTTGTGCTAAATTGTCATTTAAAATGCCTCTGAAAATACATGGGCTATACCTAGGCTAACACTTTAAACTAAACATGTCTTAGCCATTCCATCACATCGGTACCGTTAGAGCAAATATTTTTGTCTGCAAGACTGTAATTTACAAAGTTGCTAAACCGACTGTCCCCAATAATAGTTGACAAGGAAATGTTTCCAAATAAAATAAATTCGTTGCATTCTCTCAGGTGACCCTCAGTGAATAGTGAAAATTGCCTTTGTAAACATTAAATGTGTTTTCTTAACAATTACCAGATACTATTGTTTGATATGGTTATTCTTGTTATAATTTTTAAATAGGTGTTCATTAAATTATGTTGATTAGATTATTGTTTTTTACATTATTAGTACATGTAGGTAATGAGCTATTAATTATGGTGTGTAATTCCTTGTCCAAGATACTCATGTAGATGGTTTTTCATCCGTTGAACAACAAACCACTAAATGTAAAATTTATATTTTTGTGTTTCCAAATTGTAGATATATACCCTAGCGAGTTCTCGAGTATCGCTCGATAAAAGCAACGCGTACTCGATTAGTAATTGCTCACCGAGTTGAAATCCCTACTTAGAAGTGATCAAAATGTTGAGTATCTGCAAAAATTATGATAATTCTGGATGAAATCTAGTTTGCATTAAATAAAATTAGATATTGTTGGAGAGAGAGCTTGAACGTTTTAATATTTAATATATATATATATACAGATCATGTTCAATCTTAAATGTTTAAGCTTTAAAATTAAAAAGGTGAGCACCGTGACATAAAAAATATTTAACATTTTGCTCATATATGAGAATCATCATTTATTATCTTTAGTTTAATTTTCAATATTGAAATTTTACCATTGAAGATCAAGTCAAAAGTCACCAAAGTTAATGTTTTCCAAAATTCCTTTAACAGGCTTAATCTTATTTTCAGATGATAAATACATTCAACAATTATGATATATGTTGTTAATAACCAGGTATTTGCTATCTTATTTTGTAGCACCATGCAGTATAGGAGAATATTCTGTGACAGGATATGCACCTTGCGAAAAATGTCCAATAAACTTTTACCAGGACCAGACTACACAGGAAATGTGTAAACCATGTGAACATGATATGATTACACAAGGAAGGGGCTCCACTAAAAGTTCACACTGTATACAATTAGGTAAAAGAAGCTTCTTGTCATAGAAATTATAGTGCCCTGCTTGTCAAAATGATAGTAATCAATACATTTCTTTTATACTGAAATCCCAGAATATATAAATGGCTATTAGGTAAACTCCATCTAAATGAAATTGTCAAAATTATTTCTTAACAATTTACATACCTGCCAACTTTTGAAAATCCCCATGGGGGGTTTTTATTGCGTGACAATAATTTCAAAGGTTACAATTCTTTGCGACGTTTTTTGGGCATGCTGTTTTGTGGGACTTGAAAAAGTCAATGATATTTGTTATGCAGTTGTATATGTTTTTGCATTTGCAAGTCTCATTTCCATGGAGATTATTTGTCCACGTCCTATCATCATGGTTCATTGACTTTGAGGCTTTTACATAATTTACTTGTTATAATGGTCAATTATATTTCATAAACCTACAAAGTATTATTTTATCAGTCTGATTGATGTAATGAAGTGATTTTTGTATTGTTTTGTGCTTTGACAATAAAGATTCTTGTCTTATTATTTAGGATCTAACAGTTTACCAGGATTGACAGGAGAAAGCCTATGCTGTGATGTCTGCAGTGCAGGTAGATTTTATAAATATTGTTAATCCATATTGGAATTTTATAGTAGGTTTTTATCCGCTCGTTTACGGGACATATTATGGTATACTCTAGTCTGTCATTCCGTTTGTCCATCTGTCGTCAACACTTTGGACAATAACTCACATTTATATAGACACATTCTCATGTAAAAGACTTGCTTTATGTTCTTCCCAAAATATTCACAACATATTGTAATAAACACCTGTACATGTCCGTCTGTCCTTCTGGTCAGTCTATTTGAAATCAAATGGATTTTATTTTCCAAATGAAAGTGTCCCTTGTGTTATTTGAATGAAAAAACTTGCAGGTAAAAGATGTAGTGAAGGGAAGAATGCTATTGATATTTTGGTCAATAGGTCAAAGGTCAGGGTCACTGTTAATGTTGCTGAAAATAGAATAATGATAAAAATTGGATTCCAGATGGTAATTTGAGTTCTTGCTTGATTGAAATGACACTTACACAAATGTGAGAAATAGCAAAGGATGATCCTATTGATTTTGGGGTCAAAAGTCAATATCACTTCTTATAGATATATTGTTTGAGTTAGTTTTTGGATGGTATCCCACAATGAATAGTAACACATTGATAGAGCTTAGCAATAGTAGGACATGTGTATTTGTCCATTACACAAATGTTTTCTCTCAATAAATGTGCAGTTTGGGTAACATCAGCCAGCAGTGCCAGCTTTTTAATTGTTAACAATGATTGATTGTTGGAGTTTAACACCATGTTCGGCACTGTTGGCTTTATCTTGGTGGTCAGTTTTTATATGGCCGTTTACAGGACGTATTATGGTATACCGTTGTCCCTCCGTCGTCAACATGTTGGACATTAACTCAAAAACGCTTTAAATAATATGCATGAAACTTTAGTTAATTGTTTATATCTATTGACATGAGCTCCTTTTCGATTTTTATAAATTTTCGATTTTACGTTTATGAGTTGCAGGGTTTTATTCATAAAAAAGGGGGATTTTCCAGTTTTCGGACAATAACTAAAACATGCTTTCAGCAGTTCTCATGAATCTTTGGTTAATTATTTATATCTGTTGATGTAAGCTCCCTTTAGAATTTTATAAATTTTAGATTTTTGTTTCTGAGTTATGGGGTTTTATTCATTGAAAAAGGGGGGATTTTCCAGTTTTTGGACAATAACTCAAAAATGCTTTAAGCAGTTCGTATGAAACTTTGGTGAATTATTTATAGCTATTGATGTAATCTCCCTATTGATTTTCATAAATTTCAAATATGATAATGAGAAGAAATTGAACTTTATTTGTTTATAGTCTGACAACAGATTTACTAAGTATTGCGTAACAGCACATGTATTGCGCAACAGCAAGAAATCTTTAATTGAATATAAATTAAATTCATATAACCAATTTCAAGTTCTTTGACTACATTTATTCAGAAACCTATAATATGTCAAATATTTAATTACAATCCAAATTCAGACCTGTATCAAGCTTGAATATTGTGTCTATTTTTGCCCCAACTGTTCAGGGTTGGACCTCTGCGGGCGTCTCCAGCTGCGCTCAGCGAAGCAGTTTATTATTGGTAGTGGAAGCTGGGGTGCTCCTACAAACCACAGACAATAGCTATAGGCAATTAAGAATGCAGTTGAATGAACCTGCAACATGTGGTGTTGGTACTCACAACATCAGTGTTAACAGGCTAGTGATTCAGTAGATGAACTGCTTAGACCACATGGCCACTGAGGTCCCTTTTACATTGATTTGGTGCTACTACCTTATGCAATAATGCAAGTAATGGATAGGATCTTTGATATTTTAGGCTCAAAATTCATATCTCATGTTCTGAAAGAAGGAGAATAGTCTAAACTTAAAATCAGATGCACTATAGAGAGAATGTAATTGTTATAGGAAAAAGAAGGTCATTCTGACATATGTTTTTCATTACAGTTTCCGATTAATATCTACTATTTCTTTTTTTAGTTGATACTCAATGCTGTAGTGCCAATTGTAGTCAGGAAGCAAGTGGTAAGTTGGTTTTTCCATTATAGTGCTATATGTTTTGGGAATTGTGCCACCCAGTATATATCTTTTTTGACTATACTTTGAATTTTCAAAATCTTGAATAAAAACAATCTAACAATCTATTGAACAAAATGAGTTCAAATACCAGTATATTTGATAACTCTGCCAATGATTTAAAAATCTTAAGTTGTACATTTTTACAGGTAAAATATGTAGGTTACATACAAAAAATAGGTCATTAACAGATATTGATGTCTTTTAATAATGGTAATGTATGATATACAGACTGCTTTTAGCCTCTTATTCTTACTTCTTGTAGCTATAACATGTGAAAACAGATGTGAAGATGCTTACAACAACACATTGCCATGCCAGTGTAACAGTGGTTGTGTCGCTGCTGATAACTGTTGTGATGATTATCAGTGGAAATGTATAGACTGTGAGTTCTGATATATCCACCCTCTTCATAGATTTGCACATCTTTCTACGTATATTATGTTTTTGACTAAAAATAAGGACATGCTTGATGATTGCCATTAAGACAACTTTCCACCATAGTTCAAATGACAAAGATAAAAGCAATTAAATCTCACACTACAGCCTTCAACAATAAGAAAAACCCATAAGGTTAGAATAAGGTATTATTGTTCCCACACTAAAGGCGGTGATAACACTTCTGTGTAGTCTTCAATTGTTGCTGCAGCTTAAATTTCAATGTATTTCCTGGTCAAAAGTAGATCAAGAAATCTAATTTGCTGAAAACTGAAACTAATGCAACAGTTCTAAATACAAATTTCTAATGATTATATAGAGTAAATGAAGTGCACAATGATTGAACAATCATTGCCTTTCAAAGAGGGTTGAAAGGATTTGCTTTGAACATAAAATTTCTATAGCATTTGAAGGATATCTGTTAATTATACCCCCACACTGAATAGAAGGTGTTATACATGATATACTGGTTAACCTCTGTCCCTGTATTTTGTCTGTCCATTTTTATCTCATCTGGCCAAAAGTGCCAAGTGAGCTATATTCTCATCATGTGGCATACATTGTCCAACGTTGATTTTACAAAAATCTTCTCTGATACTACTTGGCCAAATTTAACCAAACTTGGCCACGAGCATCATTTGGGTATCTTGTTTTTAAAATGATGATTCCACTAGCAGACATGGCTAAAAATAGAACATAGGGGTAAAATGCAAGTTTTGTGTATTACTTTTAAACCGCTAAATAGAGACAGTGGCAGAAATGTTCAGTATTGAACTCTACCTATTGTCTATATATGTCAAAACTTTAAGATGACTTCTTATAGGAGTTGTTGCCCTTAGATGACGAATTTTATCTTTTCTTTTCATTTTGCCTACTATCTTTTAAAGTATAATAGAGAGTGAAGTTTAAATAGCAAAAATGATCAGCATGACAAGATCTACCAATAAGTCGACATGGCCAAAATTGTCAGACGACTCCTTATAAGAGTTATTGCCCTTAATGACTATTTTTACCTTTTTTTTTTGCATGTTTGCCTATTTTCTAGTGAACACTACTAGATAGACAGACACTATAAATAGCAAAAAAATGATTTGCAATAAATGATCTACAATACAAAATCCATCAGCAATACAAAATCCAAAAATTTTTTGTCATGATTTCTATTCTAGTCTTCAATGTTGGAGAGTGTTCATTGTTAGCTCACCTGGTCCAAAAGGGCCAAGTGAGCTTTTCTCATCACTTGGTGTCCGTCGTCGTCCGTTAACTTTTACAAAAACCTTCTCCTGTGAAACTACTGGGCCAAATAAAACCACACTTCATACACATACAAAAAACCCAGCAGAAGTTTAATTTTTAATTATACACCGATAACATCAGACGTCAATGTAGAAAATAATACTCCTTTACCTTGAAACTGTGAATCGTCGAAGTTTAGTTATGTTCCCTATGGCCATGTTATTACGGGGGACCTCAATATCGTCCAGGACAGAGAGGTTAAAAACTTTTTGAAGAAAGGACTGAAATATTGTCCTCCATCTAAAATAGATTGGAAACAGTGTCGTTAGGTCACAAAAGATGCTCTTTCCTCGTTTTGTAAAAATTGGTGTAAACGGGAAAAATCTGATAATCTCTTCATTCTTATTTAAATAAATGTATGAATGTGATAGATAATAGAATATCACATTTTGAAAATAATTTAGAAGTAAATAATAGAGTACATAATACGCCTATTTCCAGAATAAGAAATAAACTTCAAGAACTTTCAAAGCGGTTTGTGTTTGTACAGGCTGACAAAGCAGCCAACAATGTGGTGGTGGTATGCCCTAAATACTACACGGACGTTCTTAAGAATGAAATTTTAAATTCATCTACATTCAAGTCCATGCACCCCACAGAGAGTCATATAGTTAACAAACATATCATAACCACATCACAGCTTAAGGCTTCTTCTGAACATTTGAAGGTCCCCACTATGTATTGGTTACCTAAACTACACAAAAAACCAGTAAAATATCGTTTCATCTCGGCCTCTAGTAAGTGTTCTACAACTAACCTTTCAGTGCTTTTAACAAGTTCCTTAACTACTATCAAAAAGCTTATCATAAACTATTGTAATAAAATATATGAAAATAGTGGAATTAACTATTTTTGGAGTGTAAAAAATTCTTTGGATGTTTTAGATAAATTACGTGCTTTTGATGGTCCTTTTGATTCTGTTGACAGTTTTGACTTTTCTACTCTTTACACTACACTTCCACACAATCTTATCAAACAAAAATTTGACTATTTATTTAAATGGTCGTTTGGTAAATCTGAATGCAAATATATTTGCTGCAACTCATTTAAAACCTTCTTCTCTAATGAGAAAGGTAAATATTCTAGATATACTTACTGGAGGTGTGATGAGATGATTGAAGCTGTTAATTTTCTCCTTGATAATATTTATGTACGTTTCGGCAGCAAAGTTTATCGACAGGTCGTAGGTATTCCTATGGGCACTAATTGCGCCCCTTTAATAGCAGACTTGTTTTTGTACTGTTATGAATCACAGTTTATGACCAAACTCAGTAAAGACCCGTCTAAATTGCATTTAATTGATAAATTCAACAACACTTACCGTTATCTTGATGATATTTTTTCGTTAAATAATCAAGAATTTTCTCAATATACTGCTGAAATTTATGCAAAGGAACTTACTTTAAGATATTTCGGTTTTACACGGGAAACTCAACACTAAAATTTACGACAAAAGGGACGATTTTTCATTCCCTATTGTAAATTGTCCCTTTTTGGATGGTGATGTTCCTTTGGCACCATCTTACGGTATTTATATTTCACAACTCGTTCGCTATGCCCGAATCTGTTGTGACTTATTTCAAACGGGATTGCACATCCTCATTTTTACGGCAATATTGTTTACCATGCCCGGAAATTTAGAAACGATCCTGGTAAACTTATCAATCCTTTAAATAAAGTTATTCTAAAAGTTACCAATTCAACACTGTAATTAGATCATTAAATCTTGTTTTTATTGGTACTAATATTGATTTTGTTATCAGTAAATTAAAAGCAAACTAAATATTAAAAACCAATTGTTCACAGAACAATTGAAGGTCTTTCCACCAGTAAAGATCTATTTTGATATTAAAATATTAAAAATCAGTCTAAAATATCAGTTCCTATGGCTATATGATGTATAAATATGAATTTAAAGCAAAGGTCAAAATCTGGAACGTCCTATTAACCTATGACCTTGACTTCAATTTCAAGGTCACAAACCAAGGACCTCAAATCAAAAGACCCTAGGTCTTTAATATGTTTGGTTAATGAGTTATATCACTTTACGCATAATTCTAAATATAAGATGGGCGAAAACTCCCATTTATTGTCTACGCACCCTTTCAACCAAAATTTATAAGTTACGACATGTCGCAACTAACAATTTAGTAAAAATAAGATGTCGATATGTTATACGGTTTTTGAAAAGTAGTGAGAATAAGCCAAAAATAAAATTTCGAATATGACCTTTGACCTTGACCTAATTTTCTTTTTTTTTTGGACCAAGGACCTCAAATCCAAAGACCCTAGGCCAATATCACTTATGGTTTACCAGTTAGAAACGAATATGACTTATATCAAATACATAAGGGGGAATAACTCTCATATGGAGTCTCCAGATAGCTTCGGTCAAAATAAAAATCCTAATCCTGAAGATGTAACGAGCAATTTGGTAAAATAAATTTGTCGTAATCTTTTACGGTTGCCAAGGAGTAGTGGCCACAAGAAAAACTGTTGGGGGAGATTACTCTTACAACGTAAGGTATTTGGTTACGCGGTTGTCAGTTTTAAAAGCGTACAAACTATATGATATCATATTCCAAATATCTAAGAGACATCTTATGAAACAACAAAACTACACAAGAAGAAAAATTAGGCGGAAGAAAAAAAATAATAATTGAAAACCAATTGTTCAGAGAACAATTGAAGGTCTTTCCACCAGTAAAGATCTATTTTGATATTAAAATATTAAAAATCAGTCTAAAATGTCAGTTCCTATGGCTTTATGATGTATAAAAGATGAATTTTAAGCAAAGGTCAAAATCTAGAACGCCCTTTTTACCTATGACCTTGACCTCAATTTCAAGGTCACAAACCAAGGACCTCGAATCAAAAGACCCTAAGTCTCTAATATGTATGGTTAATGAGTTATATCACTTTACCCATAATTCTAAATATAAGAAAACTATATGAAAACTCCCATTTATTGTCTACGCAACCTTTCAACCGAAATTTATAAGTTACGACATGTTGCAACTAACAATTTAGTAAAAATAATTTATCAAGATGTTATACGGTTTTTGAAAATAAGTAAAAATAAGCCAAAATCAAAATTTAGAATATGATCTTGACCTTTGACCTTGACCTAATTTTCTTTTTTTTTGGACCAAGGATTTCAAATCCAAAGACCCTAGGCCAATATCACTTATTGTTTACCAGTTAGAAACGCATATCACTTATATCAAATACATAAGGGGGAATAACTCTCATATGGAGTCTCCAGATAGCTTTGGTCAAAATAAAAATCCTAATCCTGAGGATGTAACAAGCAATTTGGTAAAATAAATTTGTCGTAATCTTTTACGGTTGCGAAGAAAAACAGTGTTTGGGGAGATAACTCTTACAACGTAAGGTATTTGGTTACGCGGTTGTCAGTTTTAAAAGCGTACAAACTATATGATATCATATTCCAAATATCTAAGAGACATCTTATGAAACGTCAATACCTCGCAAGAACAAAAATTAGGCGTAAGAAAAAAAAAAGTAATAATCAGAACAAAATCAATAGGTCTTTCCACGGAAAAGTGGAAAGACTTAATAATAATAATCAGAACAAAATCAAAAGGTCTTTCTACGGAAAGGTGGAAAGACCTAAAAATAATCAGAACAAAATTAAAAGGTCTTTCCACGGATCCTGCTAACATGTTTAACCCGGCCTCATTCTGTATGTTTGTGCCTGTCCCAAGTCAGGAGCCTGTAATTCAGTGGTTGTCGTTTGTATATGTGTTGCATATTTGTTTTTCGTTCATTTTTTGTACATATATTAGGCCGTTAGTTTTCTCGTTTGAATTGTTTTACAATTTCATTTCGGGGCCTTTTATAGCTGACTGTGCGGTATGGGCTTTGCTCATTGTTGAAGGCCGTACGGTGACCTATAGTTGTTAATCTCTGTGTCATTTGGTCTCTTGTGAGAGAGTTGTGTCATTGGCAATCATACCACATCTTCTTTTTTATATTAGCCTAAATTATCCTTCGGGTATCTAGATTAAAAAATGTATAAGATAACCCACCCATCAACCAAGATGGCCGCCATGCCTAAAAATAGAACATGGGGGTAAAATGCAGTTTTTTGGCTTATTTCTCTGAAACTAAAGCATTTAGAGCAAATTTGATAGGGTAAAAATGTTCATCAGGTCAGACGCATCAGACAACCCGTTGTTGGGTTGCTGCCCCTGAATTGGTAATTTTAAGGAAATTTGGCAGTTTTTGGTTATTATCTTGAATATTATAATAGATAGAGATAAACTGTAAACAGCAAAAATGTTTAGCATAGTAAGTCAACATGACCAAAATTGTCAATTGACTCCTTCAGGAGTAATTGCCCTTTAAAGTAAATTTTTCATAAGTTTTTGTAATCTTTTCCTCTGAAACTACTGGGCCAAATTAAATCAAACTTTGCCTAAATCATCCTTAGGGTATCTAGTTTTAAAAATGTATCCAATGACACCCCTCCCCCCATCCACCAAGATGGCCGCCATGGCTAAAAATAGAACATGGGGGTAAAATGCAGTTTGGCTTAGGCCAGCTAAAATTAATTAGTAGATTTTCAGCCCGATTTTTAAAAAAATGGGGCAGGTGGGAGGGTTTTATTTTTTTATTTTTATTTCCTACGAAACAATTTTGTGATGTGTTCTTCATATGAAAGGGTAATATTAATAAGCTTTTATCATGTATAATATATATATAAGGAATCCTACATAATTTTTCAAATTCTTAAAAAAATATTTCTGAATGGCAACCACTGTTCTACATGTAATTGCCGCTTTAGAAACCTATTTTTAGTAAATAGCAAAAACGTGGCCTGAGAAATGCTCTCTTTTAGACTACCTAGCCTACACCAAATTTAGTTTGCTTTCTCGGCTATGGTTTGTAGTGCCCATAAAATGAAGCATATGCATTGGTATGCAACACAAGTATTATGAGTACAGACTACAGAGTGAAATGAAAACTCAAACTTTGTTGAAAATACTAGGGTTGATGCTTTTAGGTTTCTTATGTAAGGTATAAATATAATTGCAATGTGGAACATGAACTTAACCAACAAAAGTTGTTTATTGACTCTATTGAGGGGCTGGGGACAGAGGGTGTTTGCTGTTTGTCAACAAAAAACGACAGCCTAGTAGTGGTAAATCTAAGGGCTTGCTATAATACACTTTGTACATTGACCAACTTTTTGTTCTCAATATACGGTCATAAATTGTACAAGTTCGTGCTTGTGTCAATTTCTTTATTCCAGTCATGTTTTTTGAACTAATGTGTTCCGCGATTCTTGCGCTTTGGATATCATTCACAGTCCAAATTTCCTGACACAGAGTCGTTGTTTAAATATAAAAATCCACGGTTTTTTAATCACAGGAATTTGGGACATATCGCGATTTGCGTTCTTGGACACCGCCTATTATTCGTAACCCGAATATTTCATGCCCTTCTTGTATTCGATCTCTATTCTCGGAAGATAATGTTGCCATCATAGAGCAGCAGAATATGTCCACTTAATCATTTTGGTTAAATTACGCAAAGAAATATGAAACTGGAAATTTGCAATTCAGGAAGTTTTGAATGAAACGAAATTATCGGCGGTTATCGATGACGGAAATAAACAAAATCTGGAAATCATAAATTTTCAAAAATTAAAAAAATCGTGGCGGGACAATTTCAGAGGGGCGGGCGGGGATGAAAATCTATCAATTGATTTTAATTGGCCTTATATCTCTGAAACTAAAGCATTAAGAGCAAATCTGACATGGGGTAAAAATGTTCATCAGGTCAAGATCTCTCTGTCGAGAAATTTTCAGACGCATCAGACAACTCATTGTTGGGTTGCTGCCCCTGAATTGGTAATATTAAGGAAATTTTGCAGTTTTTGGTTATTATCTTGAATATTATAATAGATAGAGATAAACTGTAAACAGCAAAAATTGTTCAACAAAGTAAGTTCTACAAATAAGTCAACATGATCAAAATTGTCAATTGACCCCTTCAGGAGTTATTGCCCTTTAAAGTCAATTTTTCACAATTTTTCGTAAATTTTTGTAATCTTTTACAAAAACTTCTCTACTTAATCTACTGGGTCATATAGAACTAAACTAAGCCACAATTTTCAATAGGATATTTTGATTGAAAAATGTATCCGATGCCGCCATGGCTAAAAAAAGAACATAGGGGTTTACTACAGAAGTCTATGGGATAGTTGGAAAAAAACCAATTTCAAATGGTAACAACTTGAAAACTAATTTAAATAATGATAAGGGATCTTCAGTAACTATTGTAAGACTACAATGGGATGATCTGAACCAAACTTGGCCTCAATTATTATATGGGTATCTTAATACTATTTATTATGATTTTAACCTTAGTTTACATGATTTCCAAAACCACAGTAGATACAGGTGAGCCACACAGGCTCTTGGGAGCCTCTAGTTAAAGATGTACATAGACCTAGGTGAGTGACACAGGCTCTTTAGAGGCTCTAGTTTAATATTTTTTTATCACATTTTCTCAAAAACTACAAATCAGGGCAATCTTCATGTGAGCATTATATATTGAGTGATGCATTTTCAGATTCATGGCAATTCTGATACAGTTGAATATCTTTTTTCAGCTACCTTAGTATGTACTGGTAATGCAGATGACTGTAGTGGTAAAGGAACATGCACTTACAAGAATAATAGAAAATTCTGTACATGTAATCTAGGTAATGTACACTTGTTTTCTCCAACATGATGAATGTATTTATAATTGATATATGTTTTATATCTGTTTGTCAGGTAAATTTAATTATAAAGTTGTCATGAATTGCCATAACAATTTAACCATGAATGCAAACATTGTGACAACTGTTGTGCACATGAAGATATTTAGTAGATAACTAGGTAGGATGTGATACATAAACACAGCAAATAATCTGAGTAGGCTGCAAAACAATTTTGAAAAGAGAAAACTGAGCATTACACACAAGAGAAGTCATCTTCACAAAAAATATGCCATATCTGTATAAATATACATATGATCTTTAAAACCAGTATAGATAGACAGATACTACTAGCATTAAAAATGATATTCAATGTCTATTGAAATGTCAATATGTGACCTAAATTATCAATTGACCAATTAGTTGATAAATTCTATCTTCAAAACTGTTACTAGTTTCATAGGAAACAAAATAGGTAAGAATTATTCAAAAGGCAAATAATACAAATAAATGACATGACTGTAGCTGTAAGTTGACTGTTTATTGAAGTTATTGGTCTTTAGTGATGAATTAAGGTAGTAAGATTTTGTGAATACAATCTTATCCATATTTTTATGCACCATCCTACTACAATGACAATTTGTGAACACAACTCCTCTGAAAAATTTGACAGAGAGTTCTCAATTTTAGTGGGATTGTTTGCCAACATGTGTAATTGACCATATTCAAACTTGGCTTTGTATCAATTATTTTCACAGGAGTAATAGGACTTTTACCTTTTTTCCCACAATTTAAAAATATTGCTGCACAATTTTTACTTGTGAATACAACCCGTCTGAGAATGTACTGCAGAAAGCTCTAATACTTTGTAGGATTGTTTGCCACCATGTGTAGATGACCATAGTTTACTGCCATTGTGATTCATCCATTTTTATGGGAGAAATGAGACTTTGACCAATTTTTTTAACTTAACTAAACCACAATGACACTGTATTTGTCCTACTGAATGAACAGTAGAAAATGCAAAGCTAGAAATGTACATATTTGTTTTTATAATAACTTATTATATATTTTAGTTCCATTATGTAAGATGACAATCATGTATTCATTCAACAAACATTTAAATTTCAATGACATTCACATTTTATTCAACTTTCTTGTTCAAGTTTACTTCCTTCCATTCATGAATACTTTCATTTTCTATTTATACTCACCATGGTTACATTGTGACATAATTTATGCATACCCGATTTTGTACTTCAGGTGCAATTTTCTGTATTGTTTTTATCCTGATGACGAAGCCCTAGGCACGGAAACATGTAGATCAATAAATTTTCTGCAGCAGTCCCTAAAGTATAAATTGTTGTTATAAGACTCTACATATTTGCTTTTTGTTCATTATTTTGTACATAAATCAGGCTGCTAGTTTTCTTGTTTGAATTGTTTTACATTTGTCATTTTGGGGGCCTTTTATAGCTGACTATGTAGTATGGGTTTTGCTCATTGTTGAAGGTAGTACAGTGACCTATAACTGTTAATTTCTATGTCATTTGGTTTCTGGTGGAGAGTTGTTTCATTGGCAATTATACCACATCATCTTATTTTTATATTCATTATTTTATCTGTATTCCTGATGTACAACCCTTTACTGTTTGCATGATTTTATTCCTTATCTACACAGCAGCAGGGGGTCATTACACTACTGCATAGAAATCTTGTAAATAATAATTAGGAAATACATTTTACAATTTTTTGTTTATACCCATTTAAAAAACAAAATACTATTTTTTTCAGTAGCATTTTCTGATACTGGAACAATATTAAATTTTGTAGGATGATGGTACTGAAACTCTGAAACAATATGTTTTCAACTTCCCAGTGGGAAATTGTAACAGTGGTTTGATTCCGCCAGTGTACTTTATCCGGAGGAAGAAAATCCCCAGTGATTTATATCCACCAACAAAAATTCACTAGGTTTTTCTATCCGGGTCCAGTGTAAAACATCCAGCAGTCATTATAAGGTTCTAAAAAAGTTTTTTGAAGGGGAAATATATATAAAATGTGGCTTAATAGTTTTTAGTGTATTTGAAACTTGCATAGTTGATTTATGTAAAAAGTGGAGAGTTTTCATCCAAGGAATGTTCACACTAGTGTTTTTGTACCGGAATGATGGCACTAGTTATTTTATACCGGGATTAATTACACTAGTGCTTTAGATCCATACATTGATGAAGTGAGTAATACTCATTTTGAACACACGATAACACAATAATGCTTATTAACGAATAAGATTTAAATAATTTTTCTATGCAAATCTATAAAATCATATGTTTTTAAATTGTCACTAATTGTAATATTTATATTTATTGGATTGCCGAAGTTTTTCCGTGTATTTGCTTTTCGGTCGACTTGGATATAAAATCATATCTTCTATGTCAATATCAAAGAATGCTTCTATAATTAAAACTTTATGTAAGAACAAATCTGCTCTTTAAATTTGGTTTATATCAAGTTCAATGTCCTGATCATTGATAAAGTATTTTGAGTTATAAAAATATTCTCCTCATCATCATCAATATTATTTACCTGATTGACTCAGATTAATTAAACTGGTTCCTTTGAAATCATTTTAATTTTAACCCATTTATTTATGTAAACAATAAACCGGTCTAATATAAACAAAACAACGATATCAAGATCGACGCTTTCACACTATTTACATCCAATAATCTCTAGTGAAAAACAGTTACTCGGAATAAATACACGGCGGAATGAAAGTACGCTTACAAAATCACTTGTTTGATACTATGATACAAATGATTCATATTCTTTGATAACAAAATATTATACTCTTATTTTTCAGGATATAAGGGAGATAACTGTGAAACTGAATTGAATCCCTGTGATTCAAGTCCCTGCTGGAATGATGGTGTTTGCACTAAGATTGATTCTAGCAACTTCAATTGTACCTGCCCTGTAGGTGAGTTGAAATATGTAATATCTTGCAGTCTTATGAAACTCCACTTATTTAATATGAATAAAAGAAAGATGTTGGGTATGATATGTTTCAATGAAAATACAATTGAATGACTCAAAAAATTGAAATATTATTATTTATATATTAAAGATCATTTTGAATTCAATTGCAGACTGACTATCTTTAATACTCTAATTCTCACAGAAGTTGTTGCTTTTTCTGTAGTCATTATCAAGAATGGTTATCTTTTACATTCCATCAGAATAGCAAAAGCAGATAAGGCCAGACTTAAAAATATTTCTGTTTGCCCAAACCCTACCCACCAGTCTCAGGTGTGGGTAGGTAGGTAGGGAAATTCTTTTTTTTATACTTTAATAGAAAAATAGGGGTCAAAATTATTTTACCTTGTAAACAACTTTTAAAATGAAAGACTATTATAGAGTTTTGTATAAATTGTCAGACACATATGTCAGGATCTATATGTACTATAAAGATCTTTTCAGTTTTTTTCAGCATTCCACCTCAATGTTCACACTTTTTTCTGAATGTTTACATTGTAAATACAAACATTTTAAATGAGTTTATTTGAATACAAAATTCAAATACTAAAACACTTGAACAAAACACTGTTGACAGAACTTTTGTCATAAAAATAACATTTTAAGTTTTGACTAGAAACATAATACTGAAATAAACTTGGACATAAATTCAAAATTACATAATATGGGAAAATTGAATGTCCTGTAAGTCCTGTTTAGAGATTCAAAATACCTATACAACTATGAACTGCATAACTGTCACTTTGACACTTAAAATTTCACTAGTAAAACTGACGTTTAATGACTAGAATGCTTTAATAAAGATGCATGTTTTTTTTTTTTAACACATTTTAGAACTAAAGGTAACAACTTAAACAAAGCTGAAACAAATTCCTGAACAACTTGGATTGTTTTTTCAAAATCGGGCTCAAACGAGTGTCCTGATCGGTCAGAGACAGTCACACAAATGTCATCAGTTTTCCGTAGCATGAAATCGTCATCACACACTTCATCAAACACCTCTTTCCATGTTTTTATACCCCACGCAACGAGTTGCGGAGGGTATAATGTTTTTGACCCGTCCGTCCGTCAGTCCGTCAGTCCGTCAGTCTGTCAGTCTGTCAGTCCGTCAGTCCGTCAGTCCTGTTTCTTGTCATCGCAACTCCTCTCAAACCACACAACAGAATTTCACGAAACTTTTTTAGATAATAAGGACATACTATGTAGTTGTGCACATCGACAGGAAATTACTATTCAATTTTTTTTTCTAGGAGTTACGCCCCTTTGAACTTATTTACTTTAATGTACTACTGCAACAGTTTGTCATCTCAACTCCTCTGAAACCACACAACAAAATTTCATGAAACTTTGTAGATAATAAGGACATACTACGTAGATGTGCATATCGACAGGAAATTACGATTCAATTTTTTTCAGCAGTTACGCCCCTTTGAACTTATTTGCCCAATATACTACTGCAACCTTTTGTCATCGCAACTCCTCTCAAACCACACAACAGAATCTCATGAAACCTTTTCAGATAATAAGGACATACTACGTAGATGTGCATATCGACAGGAAATTACGATTCAATTTTTTTTCTAGGAGTTACGCCCCTTTGAACTTATGTACTTTAATGTACTACTGCAACAGTTTGTCATCTCAACTCCTCTGAAATTACACAACAAAATTTCATGAAACTTTGTAGATAATAAGGACATACTACGTAGATGTGCATATCGACAGGAAATTATGATTCAATTTTTTTTCCAGGAGTAACGCCCCTTTGAACTTATTTGCTTCAATATGCCTCTGCAACAGTTTGTCATCGCAACTCCTTTGAAACCACACAACAGAATTTCATGAAACTTTGTAGATAATAAGGACATACTATGTAGATGTGCATTTCGACAGGAAATTATGATTCAATTTTTTTTTCTTATACAATTTGTTTTTCTTACAGTTATTTTATTTCTCCAGTGACAATGTGGGGACGTGGGGTATGTGAGCGCACTCACTAAGGTTCTTTAATTGTGTTTTCAAAACAATAGAGTTTGTTGGAAACTAGGGGTTTTGATTTTAATCCAACCTTTATTTGTACTGATTTAGAGATGGTAAACATGTTGTTTTTCATCCGTATCAATTGGAGGCTTTTATACATAACACAAATTGTCCTGTGATAAAGCGCGGTCAGATGGGATCAGGTTATTCTATGCAACAAACTCAAGACGGATATGGATACAACAAAAATCTGCAAAAAAAAAAAAACATCGCGAATTTTGAATAAAAAAAGATTTTGACTCTGGTGCTATTTTATGGGTCGGTCAGGTTAGGGCAAACAACCTATTCTTTTTTATGGCCTAATGCCAATCATTAGTTGATGTCATATTTGAATAAACAATCCACGTTTGACTATGTAAATAAAAAACTGTTAAGAAAAATAAGAATTGGCTAAGAATTAAAGAAATATAGATTCCACCACCTTACCTTGTTGAATAAGCCATTCTTATACTCAGGATTGATAGATTCATCAACTTAAAATGCCAGGTTTACTGAACACTTTTAGCATATGATATGTGGCTTGGTTGTGAGTACATGTTTATTAGTCATATGTCACATTTCCATGTCCTCATTTTCATTTTCCAATTCCTATGGGAAGATTAGGTGTACATAATTATCATGCAGTAATTACTTGTGCAAACAATATTAGGTATATTTTTTAGTTTTAGGAGTCTATCTTATATATAACATATTAACCTGCAGTGAATTTCCTGCTTTTATTTTGGATCCTAATATCGGCCCTGTTCCAATGAGAAAAAACCTAAATTTTCCCAAATGAACCCTTAAAATTCATAAATCAATCAAGTTGTATTGGAAATGTTATTGATAATTTTATCGTTTGCACGATTTGGTTCAAAATATAGGTTATATAAGCCACTGTAGTGTTGACAGACAGACTAAAGTATTCCATACTACGTTCCAGACTAAGAGGGTTGTATACAAACTATTCCATCTAATGTGTAGATTCTTTATTTCTGAATATTTAAAATCTAAGGAACTTGAAATTATAGGTATATAAGTATTTAATTCTAAAGTGTTTCATGTATTTGGCCTATTATAAATAATATGATCTTGACTATTACTTTTTCACCGTACTTGTATAAATGAGACAGTAATATAAAATACAAATAACCCTGTGTCATATGGTAATTTCAACCCCATGGAAAATTGAACCCCCCTGTTTATTCATTCAAGATACTAATTGGAATATAATATAATGGTAAAAGTAGTTTTTAAATGCTGTTATGAATTGAAATTCTGATATCTGATGAGGGGGGGGTCAATTTTCCATGGTAGGGGGTTTAAATTACCATGGCTAAGTAAAAATGTTTAAACATCTTTTCTAACATATTTTATTTATACCAAATACTTATTAAAGTATTATTATTATACAGAGTTGTTTGAATAGCTATGGCATTTTAAAGATCTATAGGGGGTTCATTTTCCATGGTAGGTGGTTCAAAATACCATGGCTGAGAAAAAATCATAAATGTTAAAACATTTTTTCTAACATGTTTTATTCATACCAAATATTTATTAAAGCATTAATACTATGTTAATTAGTTGAGATAGCTATGATTATTGGAAAATTTGAGGTCTATATCACAGGGGTTTAATTTTTAGCTCACCTGGCCCAAAGGGCCAAGTGAGTTTTTCTCATCACTTGGCGTCCATCATCGTCGTCGTTAACTTTTTATACTTTAGACCTTCTTCTAGAGAACCACTGAATAGAATGAAACCAAACATGGCATGAATGTTCCTTATGAGGTGCTGACCAAGTGTTGTTACTTTGTAGCCAATCAATCATCCAAGATGGCCGCCAGCGGGGGACTAAATTTAACATAGGACCCAATGGGAAATACATACAAATGTCTTCTTTTAGAGAACCAGTGAATGGAATGAAACAAAACATGGCATGAATGTTCCTTATGAGGTGCTGACCAAGTGTTGTTGCTTTGTAGCCGATCCATCATCCAAGATGGCCACCAGCGGGGGACTTGGTTTAACATAGGACCCAATGGGAAATACATACAAATGTCTTCTTTAAGAGAACCACTGAATGGAATGAAACCAAATATGGCATGAATGCTCCTTATGAGGTGCTGACCAAGTGTTGCTACTTTGTTGCCGATTTACTGTTCAAGATGGCCACCAGGATATTTTATTTAATAACGGGACCAATATTAAACCAAATTTGACCTCAATCATTATTTGGGTATCTATGATTTTTATCTATCTTTACATGATTTCTAAAATCAAAGTAGAGTCAGGTGAGCGATATAGGCTCTTGAGAGCCCGTAGTTAATGATAGGGGGTTCGAAATACCATAGCTAAGAAAAATTGTATAAACATCTTTTTTAACATGTTTTGTTACTACTAAATATTTATTTATGTATTATAACTACGGTAAATTCAGGTATTATTGCAATATATATATATATATCTCAGATTTTCAAATTGTCATAGCTATTCCAACTACTTTTTATATAGTAATTAGGGCCCCGCAATGAGGATGTGGAAGCCCTATAGTTTCCACTTTATCTGTCTGTCCGTCTCGCTGTCAGATGCATCTGTCTCTCAACATAAAAACTCAAAAGGTATAGGAAGAAGACCACTGAAATTTTGCACAGTTGTTGTGCATAATATGTAGATGTGCATATTATATTTTTGATTGGATTAGAGAAATAGAATTTTCACACATTTTCTATATTTTCCTTTCTCTGCCGTTGTATTTGTCATTAGGGAATTCCATGTGCTGGGGTATTTGCTAGCAAATACCATGGCAGATGGGGAAATACCATGTCTAAAAATAACCCCATGAATTATTTCTATTCTAATAGGACAAATTTATGGTTATTCTTTATATACTGCAACTCCTACAACAGTTCGAAATGAAATATTTAGGGTAAAAACCTGCATTTTTGAATTAGAGCTAACAACGTAAAAATTCCGTGAACCTGTACTTTTAATGACGTCATAAATAAAACTCTACGGAAACGCATTGTGAAAGTCATAAATAAGACAATATACGATCAGTGACTGTACATCAGAAATGATTATACGGTTAATACAATTTGACTGCGCAAATAACACAGCTACAGTATATACAAAAATTATACAGTTAAGCAGAAACTCCATAGGATACTTGATTACAATAAAAATTCTGAGGTCAAGATGGAAACAAAGAACATTCCGTGGAGTTAAACAATTATATCCTGCTAACAAGGGGTGGGTATTTGCCAAAAAATACCGGTTTCGAGATAAACAAATTTCCCTTGCCTAATGGCTCTGGAAATTTGTTTACCTCTCAACCGGTATTTTTGGCAAATACTCCTTGTAAGCATGATATATTTGTATAAGATTCAGCTCATTAATTTGGGAAAAAACTAAGTTTTTGTTGAAAAAATCACAAATTTTGAGAATATCTTTTGTAAAACTCCAAAAGTATTCGAAGGAGGCCACTGAAATTTTGCACAGTTGTTTTACATAAGATGTAGATGTGCACACAATATTTTGGTGATATTTTCAGAAATGTATTCTTATAATAGGACTTTAAAAAAAACTGATATAAAGGTGTATTAAGTTATTTTAAAGTGATTGACAAATTAAAAAAATTGTAAAAACTTACTTTTTGTTAATAAAATCACAAATTTTTGAAGGCATTTTTCTTGTAGTAGGATTTCATAAAATATTGATATATGATATAGACATAATATGCATTCCAAATTGTTTCCTCTGGTCAAAGGTGTGTTAAAAACTTAAAACTTTATTTTTTGTTAAAAAATGATAAATTCTGAGAATCCTATATTTTGCTGGGATTTGAATGAAAAAGATATCATTTGCTACAAATGTATTACGAAATGATTCTCTCTGTCAAAGTTATTGGTTGCCTACCATTTACCAAAATGCCCAGCAAAAAAACAAAGTGATTCGATTTTAACAAAATATATATTAATCAAGGAATCTGAATTATTTGCTGGTGTCAAAATTTATTAAAATTGACAACTTGTGAATATTTGCTTTGTATGCATCAGTCTATTTGCCTTGCATAAAAATGTGCAAGAGGGGCTCTTGCTTCATACATGTCAGTTTTTTCTAGTGATGCATTAATAAATATTAAGTAGGCATAAAATATGTAAAAAAAAAAAATTAAGGATAAATAAGGAATAATCGCAAAAATATCAGTTTTATAAAGTTTTACAATGCTGAACCTGCCATATCTGTCACCATGTGATTAATTTCTGTATTGAAGCAAACCTTCACTTAACATAGTCTTTATTAAAATGCCTTAATATGAGACTATACTTTTGGAAAATGTTCGTATTTGGGCAGTGAGTCACTTACCTTCTTGAATTATGCCCCTGTATAACTGGAAAATTATAATTTTCATGATGAAAACAATGTCACTCTTGACACTGACCTTATTTTTCAATTTACACAAAAGTTGAAAAGAATGTTGGAGAATCGAAAGAATCGAAAAAGTTCCACCTGATAAAACAAAACCAAATGAAATATTTGGTAAGTCCCCAAGGGTCACCCCACCCCCTGCCAATTGTGAATGTTCTAATATCTTGTAAATGGTCGTGATCCCCACGCCTAAACCATATACTAGTATATTCCAGGCATGGGGTAATGCAAATTTGTAGTTGTAATGCATGGTAATGCATTACATTTTTCCAAGTAATTGCATGTAATGTGTAATTCAGCAATTTTAGCATTACATGTAATTGTAATTTAATGCATTACTTTAGCAAAAAGTTGTGTAATTTCATGCATTACATTGCATTACATGGCATTACTTTTTTTCTGATACTATATATATATCTTTTAACAGATTGTTTGATATTTAACAAAAGCAGAATATAAGATTTCTTGATTAACTAAAAAATTATCATATGAATATTGATTTTCTATTTATTTTTCACACTTTACCCACTTGTACTTAATCATAATAAAGAATGGGATTATCATTCTCTTACTTAGTTTTTTATTTCATTTTATTTCATATATTTTCCTGCATAAAAAGATTGATATTTGAAAAGCATTACTGTAAAAGTGTTCCATTGTTGTCAAAAGATCAGAGAGTACCTTGTCATAATTAAATAACAGATATTTGAACATTGTCATAAAACACTAATTAGTTTGTTTTACAATCAACAATATTTGGTCATAAATTAAGTTTTGTGTTTATTTTATAATTAGGAAAGAATTTCTCAGTAAATATTTTGATTGAAATTAAAAAAAAAACAAAAACAAATGTATATTTATAAAAGAAAAGTTAACATTAAGTTAAAATGAAGATTAAACTTCATCTCTGTCACTTCTTTTTAGAGAAACACAGAGATGTATTATATATTGAAACTTTAAAATCAAAGATAGAAGAGCAACCAACTCTGATAAGTTTTGTGAAAGTCAGGTAGTCCGAAATATCATTGGGATGATCCTAAGCAAAAGGAGGCTACAGATGCATTAATTGAGTATATTGCTGGTGATTTACTTCTGTTTGCTACAATTGATAGCCAAAACTTCAAGAATGTTGTTAAAAACTTGACCCAAAATTTAACATTCCAAGCAGAAAACATCTTTACTAAACTTATTCATACTAAAGCCAAGGATATGCTAGAATCTTTTGTGATTTCATGTTGTTTTTCAAAATGCTTGATTTTTCTTTTCACTTGATAATAAAATTTCCAAATGTAATGTGTAATTCAATGCATTACTTTGCAAAAGTAATTGTAATTTAATGCATTACTTTGATAAATGCATGTAATTGTAATTGTAATTTAATGCATGGTTTTGTCAAAGTAATTGTAATGTAATACATTGCAATGTAATTCGCCCCATGCCTGGTATATTCCTGTTTGTCATGTCAAAATGATTTGAATAATTTTTAGGGTTAGTGCCCAGGGGTCTTCTCAATCCCCTGTTATTTGAGAATGTTTAGATATCCTGTTAGTGGTCAAGATCTCCATCCCTAAACCATATATATTCTAGTTTGTCATGCCATGATGATTTTAATGATAAACATGGTTAGTCCCCAGGGATCACCCACCCCTTAACCATATATATTCCTAGCTGTCATTTAAAATGATTTAAATGATATATAGGGGGAGTCCCCAGAGTTTATCCCCATCCTTCTGTCTTTTGAGAATGTTCAAATATCTTGTTAGTGGTCAAGATCCCCACCCCTAAACCATATATATTCCTGTTTATCGTCTAAATGATTTAAATGATTTTTAAGGTGCATGCCCAGGGGTCATCCCAATCCCCTGTTATTTGAGAATGTTCAAATATCTTGTTAGTGGTCAATCAAACCGGGACCATCCCGCAATAAAATTGCAACCATCCTGCAATCAAATTGAACTGGGACCATCCTTCAATAAAACCACAACAATCCTGTAATCAAATTTGCTTGTGGTTTGCTTGGGCAACCTTCCTGCCCGGTACCAATTACTATCAAATCACTACTTGCATGTGGCATGCAAAATACATATTTGAACCATCTAGTATTTGAACAAAATATGGTTGCAGCATGCATGCAGGATGCTTGCAAATAATGCTTATGATTTTTGTTTGGGAAGTACTTATAAATGCATTATTACTGTATAAAGTAGTTGGAAAAGCTATGACAATTTGAAAATCTGAGATCTATAGAAGGAGGGGGGTTCAATTTTCCATGGAAGGGGGTTCAAAAATACCATTGCTAAGTAAAAAAATATTTTATTACATATTTTATCCCTACCAAATATATATTAGTGCATTATTACTATATAAGATAGTTGGATTGGCTATATGTATGTCGTTCTGTCAGTACGTCCCAAAATTAGTTTCCGTTCTGTAACTTAAGTTTCCCTCAACCAAATCTTATGAAACTCATACACAATGCTTATTACCACCACACACAGATCATGCTAGAATTTTTGTGGAGTCACGCACATCGTTTTCAAGTTATGTCCCTTTTAAATGATAAAATTGCTAAATTTGCCATATATTTATAAATGGGGCATCTGTGTCTGTGTCTCATGAACAAATTTTTCTTTTCTTTTTTTTTAATTTTTTAGACACTTCTTGTGTAATGATTAACCAGACAGGCAAAGCTGGGAAGGATACCCAATGGGGTGAAAATCCAAAGGAATTATCCATTGAAGACTGTGAGCAGTATTGTCTTGACAATCAGAACTGTAAAAGTATTCACTATGAAAGCAATTTTTGTTTTATATATAATCAGACAACAGTGCTGATCAATAAAGATGGAGCAATTTATTCAACGAAACAATGTGCTAATACTCCGTGTAAGTATTTTTAGTCTAGGTTTTGATTGAATATTTTTAGAATTTTCAAAAGGCATATTGATGTTTTTCCATTAAGGTAAATGAAATACATCTAGTTTCAGAGGAGAATTAAATGACGGAACTCAAGAGAGAGAATTGTATAAATTTGTATGTATATGTTTCCAGTAGTTCGAGTAAGGACACATGGCAAGAGAAGCTGCACATGACTTAACTTGTCAACTGTAGGAAAATGATGACAGTTTTTCTTGGAAGATCCAAATCGAGATAAGGAAGTGTGGTTTGATTGCCAATGAGACAACTATCCATCAGTCTGAGAGATCAAATGATGTGCATGTAAGTAACTATAGGTCATCGTACGGCCTTCAACAATAAGCTAAACCCATACTGTATAGTCAATGTGGAGAGGTTCTGACATGATTAAATATGAAACAAGTCAAACCAGAAAACTAACTGCCTTGTGTAGGACAAAAAAATAAACAAAAGACAAAAATGATAGACTTTAATTTTTTGAAAAATGATGATAAAGTTGTGACACTTTCTGTCACAGAAATTATTGTGAGGCTTTTAGTAATGCAACTTGGTGGGTATCACAATAATAAGTACTTGCATTCTGAGTTAGGATGCATTATCTGTTAGAAGATTTTCCTGACATCACAACAATCAATCTCACATTTTTGTCCATTCTTTAAAAAAAACGCTGTAATAAATACATGCAAAAATTTCTGAATTTACAGTAATATATTTTGAAGAAATGCTGAATCTGTGTACAGATCTCGTCATGGTCATATTCTTAGTTGATCGGCTATGATATTGATCCATATTTATCATGTTGATACTTAAGAGGCCATGTCAATATACTATATTAACCTTTAGTTGTTGGGTTCTCTGTATTTTAATAATAGGATGCATGTATACTGCTCTTCAGAACCTTTGGTGTTAGGTTCTCTGTATAATATAATGCATTTTTACTGCTCTTCAGAACATTTGGTGTTGGGTTCAATTCTCTGTATAATAGGATGCATTTTTACTGCTCTTTAGAACATTTGGTGTTAGGTTCTCTGTATAATAGGATGCATTTTTACTGCTCTTTAGAACATTTGGTGTTAGGTTCTTTGTATAATAGGATGCATTTTTGTCGAGCCTGCGACTTTTGTCGCGGAAAGCTCGACATAGGGATAGTGATCCGGCAGCGGCATTAGCTAACTTCTTAAAAGGTTTATATTTTAGAAGGTGGAAGATCTGGATGCTTCATACTTTGTATATGGATGCCTCATGTTACGAAGTTTCCGTCAGTCACATGTCCAATGTCCTTGACCTCATTTTCATGGTTCAGTGACTACTTGAAAAAAAAGTCAAGATTTTTTGTAATGTTAAATTCTCTCTTATTATAAGTAATAGGATAACTATATTTGGTATGTGCGTACCTTGCAAGGTCCTCATGCCCGTCAGACAGTTCTCACTTGACCTCGACCTCATTTCATGGATCAGTGAACAAGGTTAAGTTTTGGTGGTCAAGTCCATATCTCAGATACTATAAGCAATAGGTCTTGTATATTCAGTGTATGGAAGGACTGTAAGGTGTACATGTCCAACTGGCAGGTGTCATCTGACCTTGACCTCATTTTCATGGTTCAGTGGTTATAGTTAAGTTTTTGTGTTTTGGTCTTTTTTTCTTATACTGTATGCAATAGGTCTACTATATTTGGTGTATGGAATGATTGTAAGGTGTACATGTCTAGCTGGCAGGTGTCATCTGACCTTGAACTCATTTTCATGGTTCAGTGGTCAAAGTTAAGTTTTTGAGTTTTGTTTTTTTTTTCTAATACTATATGCAATAGTTCAACTATATTTGGTGTATGGAAATATTTTATGATCTATATGTCAGTCACGCAGATTTTATTTGACCTTGACCTCATTTTCAAGGTTCATTGCTCAATGTTAAGTTTTTGTGTTTTGGTCTGTTTTTCTTAAACTATAAGCAATAGGTCAACTATTTTTGTTGTATGGAAGAATTGTTAGCTGTACATGCCTGCCTAGCATGGTTCATCTGACCTTGACCTCATTTTCATGGTTCATTGGTCAATGTTTAGTTTACTTGGTTAATGTTAAGTTTATGTGACCAGTCTTCACGACGAACTGCTAAATCTACAGGCCCGGAGCTCAATTTTTGAAAATTTTTAGTTAGATTCTGTTGGCTTGTAGATATGATTTTTACAGGCCCGAGAGCAATATTACAAACCTGGGCTGCCTGGGCTGCCACTCAGCGTGAAGACTGTGTGACAGTTGTAATAAAGCTTTATATTTAGGACTATCAACATCATATCAATGATTAGTAAAGAAGGCGAGACATTTCAGCGTGTGCACTCTTGTTAATGCTCTTCAGAGCGTTCTCTGTATAATAGGATGCATTTTTACTGCTCTTCAGAACCTTTGGTGTTAGGTTCTCTGTATAATAGGATGCATTTTTACTGCTCTCCAGAACCTTTGGTGTTAGGTTCTCTGTATAATAGGATGCATTTTTACTGCTCTTCAGAACCTTTGGTGTTAGCTTATATAGGTTCGCTGTATAAAAGGATGCATTTTTACTGCTCTTCAGAACCTTTGGAGTTAGTTCTCTGTATAATAGGATGCATTTTTACTGCTCTTCAGAACCTTTGGTGTTAGGTTCTCTGTATAATATAATGCATTTTTATTGCTCTTCAGAACATTTGGTGTTAGCTTATATAGGTTCTCTGTATAATAGGATGCATTTTTACTGCTCTTCAGAACATTTGGTGTTAGGTTCTCTGTATAATATAATGCATTTTTATTGCTCTTCAGAACATTTGGTGTTAGCTTATATAGGTTCTCTGTATAATAGGATGCATTTTTACTGCTCTTCAGAGCATTTGGTGTTAGGTTCTCTGTATAATATAATGCATTTTTATTGCTCTTCAGAACATTTGGTGTTAGCTTATATAGGTTCTCTGTATAAAAGGATGCATTTTTACTGCTCTTCAGAACCTTTGGAGTTAGTTCTCTGTATAATAGGATGCATTTTTATTGCTCTTCAGAAACTTTGGTGGTAGGTTCTCTGTATAATAGAATGCATGTATACTGCTCTTCAGAACCTTTGGTGTTAGGTTCTCTGTATAATAGGATGCATTTTTATTGCTCTTCAGAAACTTTGGTGGTAGGTTCTCTGTATAATAGAATGCATGTATACTGCTCTTCAGAACCTTTGGTGTTAGGTTCTCTGTATAATAGGATGCATTTTTACTGCTCTTCAGAACCTTTGGTGACCCTCTTTAAGATTTTTCTGGTTCCACTCCTCAGCTGTTGCATTAGTTTTCATAGATTTGATGGAGAATATGAAATTCTTCTGCTTTGATTTTTCTTCAGTTGCTTTGATAATTTTTAGCTCACCTTACAATTGTCTTCCATCATCAACTTTTTCAAAGCTCTTCTCCTGAAACTACTGAGCCAATTTTAAATCAAACTTGGTGTGAATGATCCTTAAAGAGGCATTAGCTACGAGATATATAAAAAAAATTAAAATATAATTTTTTTTTGTTCAATCATTAATGAAAGAGAAATTAGTGAAATAATAATTCGCTTTTAGCAGCCAGTTTAGTTCAATTTTGTCAAAATAAGTTAAGATTTATGCACAACACATTTTTAAAGAAAACTTTTATTATATAACATACTTATTCTAAACATCATCTAAATTAAATACCATTACATAACAATAAACATTTCTATAACTTAAAATGTTCACATTATTGGCTTTCTTGGGACTACTCATTCATTGAAAAATTTAACCTTAAAATTTTTTAAACCTAATAAAATACATGTAAATGAAAATGCCTAATGGTCAAAATTATGTAAATACTTGTACACATAAATACATAACAATGATGGGGAGATCCCTGCATCAAACTTAACTGTATGAAATGTCACCTGGGGAGATCCTGGCAGGTGTGAGCTACTTGACTAGAGAAATTACCGACCTGGCAGGAATTAACCCATCTGATGTATTATTGAATTGGGGGAGTATAATTCCCCTTGAATTATAAAGGCCAAATGAATGAATTCATAATGATGAATGAGTGAAAGCCGCCAAAAAATAATGCCATATAAAAATATAAATTAGTTATATGAAAACTATGACAAAGACTCAAAGATACATTTTTCATGATCTTTACAAATAACCTTCTTATCAATCCTGATGTATCTTAAACACAAAAATATTTTGGAACATGTCTCAAGAATGATACGAAACTGCTTATGTTATAACCAAGGCATAACTAAGTTGTCCAAATATTTAATAAACGCCTTGCATCAAAGTCACTTTAAAGAATGGAGGAGAAAGGTATACAGCTCCCATTCTAAAAGTTAATTTTTGTTACTTATTCATAGTCACAACTGGTTCAAAACTGTTCTTTAATTGTTACATTCACTCCTATTCTAAAATGACCAGTCTTTGGTGTTCTAAGTTTCACACAAAAGTAAAAGTACTACACTGGTATCAACATCACTGATTACTAGGCAATTTAGATTGCATCCCTAAAAAATTCAACAAGTGAATTTTACATCGAAGGGAACCAAAGAAAGCTGTTAAAATGCACAGTGTAACATTATCTATGAAACGTGAAGAAAACTCCTGTTGATAATATGTTGTACAAATGCTGTATTAAGGCTGATGTAGATGTTGGCCTAGTCATAGAAGCATACATGCAATAAAAGGTAATCGCTCGGTCCCTGTTGTGGTGTAGTTATGACAAGCAAATAATGATATCAAATCCTAGCTATATACAATTGTAATTCTTTTCGGTTCTTTCAGTGTGTTATAAAGTATATCAAATGTTTTCTGTGATAGTAGGAAGACAGTTCATGGAACTCTGTATGCCACTTATTCAGAAATGATACAAAACTTGCATATTTGATTTATAAGTTTGTTGCGTTTAATGCTTAACGAGAGTTCATAAGTAGCATGACTGTCATACTAACACATTATTACT